CCTAATGTGACGTAGTAAATGCGTGGGTGTTCTGGGTGTCATAGAGTCAAACAGCAGGACTATCTATGTACGATATATTGAGAGGTGTGGAAACGTTGATGTGGGAAAGATGAAGTCGCGATTGCGTAGTTAGGCGATGTAGTAAGTAATAGTTAGGTTGAGTCATTACAGGGTCATATTATGGGCTGATTTTCATTGTAGACTACTTTAAACATCATTTATTGAGGAAACTATTACATATTTGATAGATTTAGCTCAGAACAGGCCTTTAAAGTAAAAGTCTTGGCAACTCAGGCCTTATTGGGCTTGTCCGCTAAGGCAATACTTCTGCAACCAACTTGCAACAACAATTACCCCAAGGGGTCAACGCACCAACCATTTCTGAACCTTACATGTTCCTTAGCTTTGTTTCCCAGAGACTTATAATTCTTCACAAGTATGCAGAAGCGTCTAAAAGTTTCGAACTTTCCTTGAAATGTTGAAGCGCAAAATTTCGTGGATGACTGGCTTTAGGGTCTATTAAAGAGCTTTTATTTAGAATCTTTGCATCAGAATCCTGTAGAAGATGAATCCAAAATATTTATAAAACTATGATCGTTGCTGCTTTCTATTTGATTGTATAGACTTATTTACGACCCCATTTGTCTTATAATTTATTTTTAGTGTAATAGGATATGATCTAACTAGTTTACCATAATTTGAGCTCCTTTAAGGCGTTATTTCTGTCTAGATTCTGTCATCACATATTTTCTAGGCTTGTATTCCCCTTTAATGATCTCCATTTAATTTGCTGCACAAGGAATAGCATGCGCTTACACATTTAACTTCATTTTGGGATTTTAATATATTGTCCATACGGTTGGAATTGAACATTTATTTCTATATGAGTGGTTCCTGTTTATATGCTCTTATTGCCTAAGTCTATATATAATAAGGGGATATTAAAAATTAGTAGGATGTCTAATCATGTTACAACTTTATCTTTTTATACTAATTAAGTCAACTGTCCTATGAGCTCCCCTTTAATGTCTTTCTACCCCTTTTTCTTTCCATTTAGATCGTACTAATTTGATGGGTATTTACCAACCTTGGCTTCTAGGTTAATAAGATAACGACATATCCTAATGTAGAAAGAGTAAATGGTTTGCGACAGATGGAACACTTTTGAGCTTATTTATATTTCATGTAAACTGTTTGCTTTATTGATTTATTCGTCGATCCTACTAGGTATGGATGGCATGTTCTCTTCCGATGAATTCAGCCCACGAATCTTTTGGCACTGTGCTTTCATGAGAACTTGAATTTACATCAACTATGCTTCTCTAAAGTCGTTATGTCTTTAAATAATATTAGGAGGAAAATTTTGTGATTCATTTTATTTTATTGTACAAAGTATAATAAGTTCATCATAAGTAAAAAAAAGCATGTTAAATTTACTTTCTATCTAATACCACATGTATGTAACGGGGCTGATATTTTGATAAACGACAATGAACCTCATATCAGTCTTAGTGAAAAGTCGTTGTCCTCAAGATTACCACAATTAAGGATTTGTTAATTCAATAAAAATAGGCAATATCTTGTAATCTATCGCTTTTTATTCCAGAGTTTATCCCTTGAGTTGTCGTTATTTGCTAAATCTCTTCCTTACAACTCTCGTTTGATTTCATACTTTGATCACATTTTGAACCACTTCTTTGACAAGATTCGTTGCCGGACTATCTCGTTGACACTTAGAGCCTCTTCACGCCAGCTTGCTGTGGATTGGATCACAAGCCTACAATCGGCGATCAAGTAGGTTTAAAATATTTGCTGAATGCTTTTATTCTTTAGTATTATATTAAGTGATATATAGGTTGCCTCACCACATTGTTAACAGCGATTGGTTATTATTTTGGCTTATTCAATTCACCATATTTAATTTAACTATTTACTAATAATTTCGAAACCTGCTCAATTTGAATACGATTTAACTATCACTTTTTACATCACCTTAAACACTTTAGGTGATTAAAGTCCTACTGATGGTCTCGGAACGTACTACGAATATAGCATTGACATTTAAATTTCTTCAATTTATTTTTTTTCTCATTAAGGCGGTTTATTATTAAATTGAATACGTTGATGATCCAATGAGAATATTTCGCCAGATTGCTAATTTTCCTAGATTTGATGAGTAATCTTTTTTCCGGACAAGGAAGCAAGCTGCAGGAATTTCCGTTTTGTATTACTTTTCTAAATGTCGGATTTCTTTTTTAAGTGCTTATTATTATTATTATCACGTTTAACCAATAGGGCAAATTAAGCTTTACTATGATTAATCTATTGGCTATCTATCAATTTTTATTGGCTTGAGGCCACTCATAAATTCCACACAAGGCATATACTTACTGTAGTATATCTTTGTCTTTCATTAAAAAATTATCCTAATGTTTTAACATCCATAGCCTTACTTTTTTATTGAATTCTCAGCTCGCTCTATGTGCACTCTTTAAATTCATTGCTCACTTCACATTAACTTGTGCATTCACCCTTCTGTTTTTTATCCATAAGCAAACTTGGTTGACTACCTGCCTACTTGGGCTAATCTCATATACGCTAAGTTTTCTATGTATAATTTTTGTATAAAATAATTATGTACAAACATCCCAGGCGCACATATTTATTCAAGACTTTTCTTGTTCAGTTCGCTTTAAGTGTCATTAAATTTGCATACAACTTCTTACCCACCCCTTTTTATTTTCCTGTGCAAGACTATGTCCCGCCCGCTGCCAACTCTTCCTATTATTCCTTCGCAAGCCTGCATGCTGCGCATTCACTCGTGGGGTGATTTCATTATACATTTATATTACCTCCCTTTTGTTTAAATGACCACGAATTTTCTTGAAATCCTCACTCTTCAGGATTTGCCATACTAGCAGACGGTTAGACCAACGAAATCAGTTTACAGATTAAGTTTATATATTCTTATTTCTTTCTTCCTTTCGTACATTTTGGTAGACTTCAACTTTCCTTGGAACATCTGTGCAAGAATCTAAATAGCCTAGTGATTTTTAATAGCGTTTCCATTTACCATAATCTGGCGCCTCTTCGTAAAGCCTATTTGATATTTTCTATCCTTTAAACTAATGCTAGTTCTGTTCGCGAAGCGAGAAGAACTCTCCGTAAGGCCAATAGCCTTAAACGCCTAACACGTGCTGAACTTCCTTCCGGATATGAGACTCGTTGCGATGTGAAGAGAAGGCATGAAGAGGTTAGTTGCAATTTTCGAGATGGCTTTTCATGACTTTTGGTGTATATGATTTGTCTCTACTCTTCTCAAAGCTCTTCAACGATTCGCTTGATTATGTCAGCAGATAAATTCAATAAACGTGTTATAGTCTTACTGTGCGGTGACAAAGATCTCCTAAGCTTTTCTACTTATTCCTACGTTTATCAATTTCCCATGAACGTTTATAATAAATAACTAATGTTCCTATTATCTTCATATATTCACACACGAACAAACTTTTCATCATATTTCCTATTGGCGATCAATCAACTTTACCATTAGCTGTACTCAACTGCTTTACAACAATCAGGATGTTTCTAATTACCACTGAATTGTGTAAGTAGATTGAATGCATCTACTTAAGGAATGAATTTAAATTATTAGAGCATACGCAAAATTTTATCAGTACTGTGGTTTTCCAGCAGACCTTAATCACAAACGAAGGTACGAAGACCAAGATGACGTGACCTCTATTTTGGTCCCGGTCTATTTATGTTGTGTAGAGGTGGTTTGGCCTCGTTTTCATAATATGTTTATGACTTGAGAGAGACTTGAGTGAACGAGCTTTATCTGAACTCCTCTGCCATAGTAGACATTGAGAGTAGAAAGAAGTATATTGTTGATTGGTACATTCTGAGGCGTCATCATTTAGCCTTGTCATTCTTGACACGAAGCTATAACTCATCAAAGATGAAAGTGAAATTCATCCCGTGACCAACTTTCTGCTGAACAGTTCTGATATCTCTCTTTCTGTCCAGTACATTCACCATAAAAAAAGACTCCAATTTGATGAGCTATACATTTTGACTTGTCATTAGACCTGATAAAGATAAAAGTATACATATTATTGTGTTAAGGTTGTAGAGATGTCAGGTATACGAAGGTAATTGGTTGTTTGTGATTATGGTGAATGAGCGAGAGGATAGAAAGAAACGAGGGAGTTGGAAAGAGGCAGCTGGAGTTGTTTAGCCAACTTGGAGATGCCATTGAATTGGATGTTGCTGAGTTCCAACACGGATGGATGGTTTCGGTTTTAAACAGAATCTGCGGAGAAAATGTAGTACTAAAAATGCGGAAGCAAAGAAACGGTCCTTGGAATACTGCCTGGGAAGTAGACGCTAGTTGACCGCGGTCCTTCTTGTGCTATCGCAGATGCAGCATAGGAAAGGAGTTGTGTAGATCGTTTGTCTCAGGTTATTGCCGACATTTTTTAGCTAATTATCCATTATTTATTTATCCGGCTCCACCATATCACACCTATCGAAATTGTATTAATAAATAGAGAGCAACTGTTTATCCTCTCATCACACTCAAGGATAATCGACTCACGGGCAAGCACCTTGTCTCTGGTTGAACTATTATGGTGTTATGACCTTTAGAGATGGAATTTATTTGTGCTACCAGACAAGAACCATATCTATTTGGAGTTCACTCTAAGCCGTAGCTAGTTTACTTATCAATGCCTGCAATTGATGTAATATATTATATTTGTGACCAGCTGTAGATCTTTCGTTGCAAAGTCTGTTTATGAAGCGACATATGAAGGCATGCCCTATCTACCGTTCGTATAGAGTTGCCATATGAAATTAGAATGAAGCTTTGCCCATTTCATGGTGTGTACTCTAACTTATTCAAATTCCGCTCCATATCACTCTACCCTCTTATATGATATAAAATCAATAATATTTTCCACGGGATATCTTCCTTTCCATTTCAGCTACTATATCCCATGTCAGTGCGGGGTTGTATGATCGAATCCGTCTGTTCTACTCCTAGTGTGTCAAACACCCAGTCCGAAACAGTCGCCAAATGCCAAGGTAACGCCAACCTTCGCGATGGACCCATTCCCCAGACAGAAATTCATGCTTATTCATCAACCTTAGCTGAGACCCTAGCCACTGCTTCTTCAGGCTTTTTTTATGAGCATGAGGATATGTCAGCATCTGCATCTTCTAATACTGATGCTGTTGTCAGCTCGCTCCCAACGAAGACGACTTTGCCCTGTCCTGAGATTGGAATTCAAACAGTTCTCAAACCATTTCACTCTGCATCCGAGGCGCCCGCCGTTATTTGTCAAGGTTCTGAATTCCAGGTGGCGCAATTGAGACGACTTGGGCGGCCGGGTACAGACATGTCTGTACGACCTAGATCACAGCCATGTCCAGAAAAGAGTGCCGATCTTACCTTGTCTAGCACACATCATTCGCCCAACTGGTGGTGGTGGAAGCCACAGCGACAATGGAGTCACCGGCTACAACGGCACAACCACCATCATTCTGAACAACTAATTAAACACGAACAAGAACCGAGCCAGCAATCCTTCTCTTCCGACAGTTTGTTGGCTGCTGTAGCCACTTGTGAAAAATCTTCACAGGCTCCTAGTCAACTTCCATTGCGGGTCCGTCTAGCGCAGCGCTTTTCTCGGCTACCGAGTCTTTCATGTGGCTCGCACGCCTTCCCAACAAGGTCTGGCCCAATGACTCATCAGGTCAATATCCCGTTTCCGGTTACAACACCCAGTGTCCAAGCTCTACCACCTGAAGCAAAAAACTCGGAAGCGACTGGCCTTTTTAGTGGGGCCCAAGTGTATAAATCCGACCTAGGTGCATATCCGCTCATGGCTTCCAGCAATAAAGTAGCCTCCAACTCATCAATTCCACCCAAGTTCATGCGCGGTCTATTCCCATTTACAGTGGAGCGCTCGTTCACATCCAGAACCAGTCTAAAACAAGTGCTGGCTTCTCACCGGCCAAGCAAGCAAGGCGCAAGAACCAAGCATAACGATCAGGTCAAAATGGGGCCAGAACGGCCCTATACTTGGGTGAGTACTATTTTACCCGTGTTTGGGAACATTCATGATTCGGCTCAATGTTAATCATTTTTAAATAAGAAATGTAGTCACTTTATATAGCCTAAGATGATAAAGGGCTGGTAGTGAATTTTCTAAGTTATATGGGTAGTCCTCAGGATAACATTAAATTATCTTCTGTCACGTGATCCATAATAATTTATTTAAATGTGGCGTGGTGGCAACATGTCGAAAATAAACCACACTACCTGGGTTCGACTCCCTCTTAGGTGCTGATTTGATCCAGACTAGGTCAAAACTGTAGTCCAATCTTGATCAGAGAGCACTGAAAGACAAGATTAATAAATATGAATGGCATTTTATTCATTAATATTCACGACCTATTCATATAATTGTTGGAGCTACATTCCTTCACTATATGAGGTGTATTCACTCTATTTCGCTTGTGATGAATGGCCGCTAGTTGAATTTTTCTGCAATTATATGAGTAGGTCTCACGCTTCCATTGCATTTAACATAGCCTTTCTTTTTAAAGGATATTCTTATCCAGAGTGAACTACAGTTTCCACCTCGTCTCATCAGCACCCCCGGCGGGGCTCGAACAAGAGTTGTGCAGCGCTTCGTCTCGTTACATTAAACAATTGAAAGGCTACTTACAAAAGAGGATACATTTCTCCATTGGCACTCAATTGACATTTTTATTCGAAGGAACTTTAATTATCTCCTTAGAAATTAGGTAGCTACTAAGTTTTCGTTCTTGGGATTATTCATAATCTATTAAAATTCCCGATATGAATTGGGCTGGCGTTTAGACCATCTTCTACCAAATAGTTTTACCGCCAGTCTGACTGCTGATTATCCTTAGAGCTCACATTTAGCTGATGATAAATTAAAATTAGCTCCATCTTATTTCCCACTATGCTAGGTTTATCAATAGCTTATTTTTTGCTTAGCCGTTGGCCATTACTTTAATTTGCCTCTAAATTCCCTTTATATAAATCTGTATATCATAGTTAGATATGTAGTTTTGCTTTCTAATGATTTTTCTAGTCCTTACTTTTCATT